TAGTCTTTGTTGCCAGGCTGTGTAAGTTCAATTCCCAGCACTATGGTGAATGGGCTATGTATTTATGGGACGGTCATCTTCTCTGTAGCTCAGTTACTTCTGTGAAATGGAGATCATAGTATTACCTGACTCATAAGGTTAGAATAGCAAAACACTTACAAAAGTGTCTGTCACATAAGTGCTGAATACATATTTGCTTATTTTTAAGTCAAGGTTTTAAAGGTATAATTTGGGTTACAGTTTAAAATGCATTAAAATTCACCCTTGTAAATATGTGCCATTATGTGATAACTACCAGTCAATCCATAGAACATTTCTATTATCCTGGTAGAGAACATTGTTTATACAGAATTATCATGATCATCTAGTATGTAGATTTCTTACTCTGGCTTCATTTATTAAGCATAAGCATTAGGAGCGTTTTCTTTTTTCTTTTTTTCTTAACCATTTAATGAGCCCCCTTGTGGCTTCAAGCCACCAGGACACAGGCCTCCCCAGTACCCTTCATCTGCTCCTCAGCTCTTCTGCTGAAGAATTTGACTTCATGCGGACAGGCTGCTTTGGGAGCTTTCCCTTCCCGAGAACTTTGTAGCAGCCCAGTTGCACTACATCAGTGATGGGAGCTACTCCAGGCTTGGTTTGGCAGCATTTGCTCTGTCTGCTTGCTGCCCTGTCTGCAGTTTATCAAGGTTGACAGCTGGGCAGAATCTCTGGTTTCTAAGTGTGATGGCTTGTACCAACCTTCCTCGAGTAACCTGGGTGATATTTGTCGAAGTTGATCCTGTGGTGATGTGTACCCCCCAGCACTGCCCTGGCCTCTGGGTGCTTTGTCATTTATCATTGTGGCCGTGGTTGGGCTCACATGGCCCCAAAGCTTCCAGGTCTTCCTCAGTCTGGATGACATGTTGATGACCAAGATGAAAGGTGGGAGCTTTTTCTTTAAAGGAATGTAAATGTTTTTCGGCTTGTGGGCCATATGGTTTGTGTTGTGACACTCACCTTTGCTGTTGCAGTATTCAGTGCATAAATGTGTTGATTCAGCATAACTATCTTCCAGTAAAACTTTATTTACAAAGATGTGTGGCAGCCAGATTTGGTCATACTTTGCTGAGTTCTGGCTTAGCATGATACCTTTGAGGTTTATTCATGTTGTGATGTACATGAGTAGTTTAGTCTTTCTCAAAATTGCTGATTTTCTGGTCATGGTAGCCCACACCTGTAATCCCAGCACTTGGGAGGCTGAGGCGGAGGATCACCATAAGTTCTAAGATAGCCTGGGCTACATAGTGAGTTCAAGGCTGGCCTGAAGTGCTTAGTGAAACCCTGTCTCACACTCCCCGCCACAGCCCTGTGCCATTGCATAGATATTCCATAGTTTAGTCCTTCACCAGGTGAAAGACATTTGGTTTTTTCCTAGTTTTGAACAATTGCAAATAAACCCATTATAAACTTCTGCTGACATATTTCTGTGTAGACACAGATTTTCATTCATTTTGGGTAATTACCTAGGAGTGCAATTGTTAGGTTGAACAGGAAGTATATTCTGACTTTCTTAAAACTGTTCCAAACCATTTTCCAGAATGGGTGCATCATTTTGCGTTTCCAACCGCAGTGTAAGAGAGCTCCAGTTGTGTTTTATCCCCATCAACACTTGGCATTGTTTTTTTTCCTTAATTTTATTCATTGTAAAAGAGTATAAAGAGTTTTAAAAAACAGTAAAGGTGTGTACCTTTAACCTAAATTACATTGGAAACTCTAGAAGGGTTTCACACATATCAGTGACATTATTTGGGTTGAATGCTATTGTTCCAGATGTAGCAAGGAGAATGATTGGAGAGAGGAAGTGTGTATGTGCACTCCCCTTTGGGAGGGTGTCATCCAGGTTGTAGTGAAGATGAAGCAGTGACGAATGTGAGGATTTCTAAGGAGGTGGGCTTGATAGGGTGCAGGCACTGACCAGTGACGTGGAAGCTGTCTTGGACGTGGCCCGAGTTCCTTACACAAGCTCCTGCGTAGATAACGGCACCCTTCTTGAGGAGAGGAACACTTCCAGGAAAAACAGTCTGGGGAGAAAGCCTCCAAAGTGGAGGCTCCTGGGCAGTCTGATACCTGGATTTCAGAGCGGGGAAACAAAATTAGGAGTCATTGTGGTATCAGGGGTATTTGATGATATGAGGTAGATGAGATTCTCCAGAGAGAGTTCTTACTGTCTGAGAAGAGTGAATAGAACACATTTAAGAGGAGTGCCAGTGATTTATGTTGAGCAGTTGAGTGACATCTGGAGGAAGCTGAGAGTGACTTGGAGGCTGGAGGTGAGTGAGCAGGCAGTTGTATGCTGTTGGAAGCAGTAGAATAGGGAGCACTAGTTTGTCCTGGTGGTGCTTGTGGCGGTGGCGTGTGTGTAAAAAGCCTGACTGGAGGCAATTGAGGGGTAAGGAGTAAGACAGTACAGAAACAAGCGCTCACAGACCACTTACAAATTTTTAGGATGGCAATTTGAAACCTGTGAGAGAAGTATTTTTAATTGTTGAGAAGGGAACATTAGCGCATGCTGGTGGGAATGGTGAGTGAGGCAGGGCACGAGCGCTGGAGAAACAGCACAGCCAACAGGCACAGCTGTTGCCAGTCAGGTCAAGTCTGCCTGCTGAGGGAAACCCACGCCATTGCGTTTAACCTGCGTATGTGGAGCAGAACAAGGAGCTTTTAGTATTACCAAGTTCTAATGAACTATATCACAGTATGGTCTTTAACTGTATTTTTCAAGTATTTCTAGAAAACCTACCAAGCAGAAAATGTCAGCCATTCTTTTGATGTGTGAAAATGCTCTGGTGTTTTAGTCACTTGTCAGTCTCATGTCCAAGTCCTGCCCATCTGTCATGGTGCAGCTGAAAGCCTTCAGATGAAAGATCCTCCCTCCCTCGTCTGAATGGTCATAGCCTGGTATGGTTTTTCCCTCTATTTTGACATTTGTTCTTTTTACATACTTGTTATATATGTACAGTGAGTGAGTGTGTGTGTGTGTAACAGCAGTGACAGTAGTAGCAGAAGTGACATTAGATGACAGAAGGCAAAGACCATAACCAAGAGGTATTTTGTTTCAAAACATCTGGCAACTATACTTACTTAGTTACCTTACATCTATATAAAGGTAAACATGAAGAAATAATTATTAGCAAGTAGTTAGAAAGTTATACTTTGCAGAATAGGATTTTTATGGCTTGGCATCTGAAGTAATAGCCTGAAATATCATAGCACCTGATTGATTATAACCTTTTTAAAAATGATACTTAGTAAGATATGCTTTAACTCGTTTGGAGGCTCTAGCAGGGGAGTGCAGCTACTTGTGTGTCCGTGACCGAGGAATGGTCCTCCTCCAGTGGGGGTGTTCGACCAAGCATGCTGCTTTGGAGGGACACACATGGAGCATTGAGGGAGGAAGGGGATGCTGCCTAGTCAGCCAGAACAGCTGAATCAACTCGGGGTGGCGGCTGTCACAGCCAGATTGCCCTCATATCCAAGATATGTTTTGAAAGTTCCTTTTTATATGTTATTAATGTTATTTGTATGTTGCTACTATTATTAATAGTAACAAGTACTGTAGTACTATAATAATAGTAACAAGTACTCTAGTTTACCAGTGACTTTGATGTTATTATTGCATTCAGAAAGAAGATAAGCCAGAGATAGAGAGACAGAGACATCACAGGGGCTTTATCCTCATTTTAGAAATGAAGAAACCAAGGCCCAGAGAGATAATGTGTTAGGAGTTGCATTGCTGATAAACAGGAGTGCAGTGACGCAAGTTGGGATGTTCTGATCCTAACCCAGGGTTTTCTTAGGGTACCCTGTGGTTGCTAGACTGCTTTTCATAGAAACCTAATACTTAAATCCAATCATAGGGGGCCATTTATTTTATTTACTGGATAAAAAAATCCACTTTTCCTCAATGATCAGAATAATCTCTAAGTATTTTTGAACAAACTTTGGCCTGGATATCCATATGTGGCCTCAACAGCAGAATGGAAAAAACACCACCATATGGATTATGCCTATTCCGTTTTAAAGAGAAGATAAATGTTAGTATCCATGGGTTACTAATTGGTCAACACTATTCAGTGCAGGGAATAAGCCTAGTGTTGACAGTTTAGAAAAAACCAGATACCTATTTTTTTGGGTTTTCACTCTGACTTGAGCGCTGGCAGCTATTTTTTTTTTTTTTTCTTGAATACTAGTATTTTTGATTTGCAATCATGGTAAGTAAAATTACTGTATAAAGAATTAAGGATAGAGACTGTCATCCTCTAAGAGGACCAGGCCTACCTTTAATTATTAATTTTTAAACAGTGGAATAATATACTAGGAACATAAGAATACTGTACAATAAATGCGTGAAATCCTTGATTTTATATTAAAATATTTAATGGGAAAGCCTCTGAATGAAATATTTGAAAAATATGATTCTAGTTAAATATAGCTAATTACTTAAAGTGGTAAACAGATTTGTTTAATTATACTAACTTAAACTTATAGAACCCAGACTCTAGAATATATTTTTGTCATGGAAACTGAGGAGTGAGGAATATATATTTTTAAAAAGTTGCGAAAAAGCAAAGTGGTATTTTTTTCTTCCTTTGTTGTGATATCAACACTTTTAAATATTACTTGGATGAATTGTTGCTACGAGTAGGATAGTTCCTTTTGCCCTACGAATTGTCTCAGGTTTTGGGGAATTGTTACACTGTGGTGTAAAGAACTGAACTTGCTTGTAAATAAAGCCAAAACAAGCAGTTTTGAATCTGAAACTGTGTCTTTTATGGCTAGTTCAGACTCGTGTAAAGAAATACACTTAGCTGCCCTTTCCCCTATGACGTTGGTCCTGCATGTCCATGGGACTCTGGTCAAGCTCTGCTATTCCTTATCTCCACTATAAGTTCCTTCTTTTAGTGTGCTATAATATGTATTAAATCAGCATTCTAGATGAACGCCTGCTTTTTCACCAGGTGAACCTGGCCTATGTGGAAGCAGCAGAGTACCTTGCAGAACCTGTTAACAGGGAGCCTCCTTCTCGAGAAGCTCAGCTCCTGACTTTGCAGAACACCTCAGAATTTGATATCCTTGTGATTGGAGGAGGAGCAACAGGAAGTGGCTGTGCACTCGATGCTGTCACCAGAGGTGAGTCCTGATGTGGGTGAATGTTGCAGGTATCCCCAATATATGTATATATTTTGTCTTTTTTGAGACAGGGTCTCAGTATGCAGTTCAGGCTGGCCTTGAGCTCACTTTATAGCCCAGGCTGGCCTCAAACTCACAATGATCCTTTTGCCTCAGCCTCCCGAGTGCTGGGATTATAGGCGTGCGCCACTACACCCGGCTGTATCCCCAATATAAACACAAACTGTAAGCATGCTGTGTCAGTGAAGTCTCATTTCTTTGTTGTTTCCTAATTTTTCTTCTTTGTGAAGCACTTTCACAAGTTTTGAAATATCATACTTGCACAATTTAAAAATTAAATGAAACTTGTCTTCACTACAGTGGGTTTGTTTAAAAAGAAAATTTTATATTTCTGCAAACTCATTGATTTGATGTTTTTTAATTTTTTTCTAATAGTAAAGTAGACACATTTAGGGTATATGGAATAAAAATATGTATTACCTGGAGTCACATGTCAGTGAGCGGTGGAAAAGATTTATTAAAATAAAATAGCTTATTAACATTATTCTTTTTGTTCATGCATCTCGTAAAACTATCTCTTCTGGTGAAACATGAATTGCAGTTTGGAAAGTCCATCTGGTACCTTGGTTCACGAACTCGATTCTTTTCAGGATTCTAGTCTCAAACTGAGTTGGATGAGAACCAAATCCAATTCAGTGGTTAAGTTTAATGTTGACTTCCTGGGAAAGTTTGAGTCGGTGCTCATCCAGTTCAGTTTGTGACCAGAATGACGGAGAGAGTTGAGTTCATGAACTGAGGTACCACTGTAGTGGAAAACATCGTTTCCTTTTTTTTCTTTTTTAAAGACAGGGTCTTGCTACATAGTTCATGGTGGCCTTTTTGCTCACGATGTACTCCAGACTGGCCTCGAACTCATGGTAATCCTCTTGCCTAAGCCTCCTGAATGCTGGTATTACAGGTGTACACCACTATGCCCAGCAAAATAAACACTGTTACTAATACACAATTCTGTGAGATGATGTCTTAGTTACTTTTCTCTTGTTACTGAGACAAAATACCCAACAACCAAAGTTAAGGAAGGAAAGGTTTACTTAGCTCACAGTTTGTGGAAGTTTCAGTCCATAATCAGCTGACTCCAAGGCAGGGTGGTATGGCACAGGGACAGCTGTACATGGTGGCAGAAGACAGCAAAAGCAACAAGAGCAAAAAGGGTTGTGGGGTGAGCAAGCCTCTTTTCCTCTGTTGTGTTTCATGCAGGCTACCCACCCACATCATCTCAGTGCCCTCCTCCTCCACAGGCTCAGGGTATTTTCAAAGTGAGGACCCTGGCCCCCTGCTGCATCACTTAGTTAAACTTCTAACCTTCTCAAGTTGACACAGTGAACAACATCCTGGACATGTCCTCCACACACTAGGATGTAGACTCCTGAGTTTTTTAGTTAAGCTTCTAGACTTCTCAGTTTGACACAGTAAAGTGTATCCACCATTGCAGAAGACATGATGAAAAGTTCCCTAAAAATGGAAAGATGACGTGTACTGAATGAAAGTATAGTATGGAAGAGAAATCCTCTTACATGTGATATAGCTAATGAAATAATCTTTTGCTTTGCCTGTGGGACTAGTGTGGAGGATGGAGTCAAGTGTGTATTTGCGGAACTGAAATGAAAAGAATGGTTATAAAAAAAAGAATGGTTAAAGGTTAAATGATTAAAAAGAATGGTTCAAGGCCAGGCTGGACTCCATAGCAAGATTCTGTCTCCAAAACAAAACAAAACTCCCCCAGAATGTATTAACTCAGGCTGGGTACTGCTGCAAGGTATTTTACCTCTGTATTATTTTAGTTTCTAAATAATGTTCAATATTTGACAGTTTCATATACAATGATAGTAATTTATTATGATTTTTCTCAGATCAGTGAGGTTCCTACCAATGCTACCCTAGATTTATTTATCTTACGTACATGGTAGAATTTACTGTCGTAGAAATGAAGTATGTTTGATGAGATTTAAGCACACATAAGCAAAAAGTGCTCTAGATTACTGTGATTTCACAGCACCCTGTGAACCTCACAGCAGGGTCCCTTTTGTTAACTTTAATAGTGGTGAGTTCAAAGTGTAGGCATTGGAATCTAGTTAACCCAGATTTCCTGTTTCCAATCATAGAATGCAATTTGAGCCAGATTATCTTTGAACATGATAAACCAGATGGGGAGAGCAGTTAGAGTTATCACAAGTTGAACTCAACTTTGTACCCCAGGGGACCTGAGGAAGAGAGTGGAAAGAGAGAAAATATTCCTCCCGACATAATGGAAGGTCTTGTTTGGGACCACTTCTCCTAGGAATTAAAATTTAGTAGGTGACAATTTTCTGTATCAAAGAGAATCATTTCCCTAGTAGGATTTGGAAAAATATATTTCTTGATATTTCCAGTTACTTTCATGCTGTTATACTAAAATACATAACCATTCTTTTTTTTTAAATGACCATTCTTTTTATTTCAGTTTTGCACATACACATCGAGAGCCTGCTGTATGTATGGCAAATATATAGGGTATTATAAGAGAATAAAAGATGATTGATAGAGTTGGGACCTCAGCATTCTATAGTGTTTGTTTGCATACAGCAGATTACATTATAGAGAATGTGTGCTTTTTAAAAGGAGCAGGGACATGATAAAGGTATGAATAGGTGAGGGAAGCTGTATCTCCAGGGAATTATCAGAAGCAGGAAAGCTGCTATTTAGTATAGGTAATTTTGTTTTATTTTATTGTTTTTTTTTTTTTTTGTTTTAGTATAGGTAATTTTAATAGACAAATATTGCTTGTTGCTCCAGGCTCAAGAACGTGCAGAAGGGACAGTGTAGAAACAGTGTATGTGGAGACAGAATGTACTTTAATTTTTATTTTTTGAGACAGTGTCTTGCTAAGTAGCTCAGGCTGGTCTCGAACTCATGGTGATCCC